TGTCTATGTCAACTTAACACAAACTAGAGCTATCTGAAAGGAGGGACTCTCAATTGAGAAAATCCTTCCATAAAATCCAGCTACCAGGCATTTTCTTAATTAGTGATTGATGGGGGAGCAGCCCATTGTGGGTAGTTCCACCCCGGGCTGGTGGTCCTTGATTCTATAAGAAAGCAGGCTAAGTACTCCAGGGGTAATAAGCCAGTAAAGCAGCATCCTTTCACGGCCTCTGCATCAGTTCCTGCCTCCAGGTTCCTGCCCTGTTTGAGTTCCTGTCCTGACTTCCTTCCATGATGAACAGCAATGTGGAATTATGAGCTGAATAAACACTTTCCTCTTCTACTTGCTTTTTGGTCATGGTGTTTCGTTGCAGCAACAGAAACCCTAAGACTCTAACTGTGGAAATCATTCCCACTGTGGCTGTGTGAATTCCTGCTCCTCTACACACTCCACTGACAGTTCTAAGTTCTGTAAGGGCTTATCTACACACCCATCACCTATCCAACCAGGCACTATTTCCGCACATGAAAAATGCTTCATGTGATATGATCTTTTACATATTCTATACACCTAAAATTTTATAATCCAACCTCTACTGACAACTTATCATCAGCCATGAACTGGAGTCATAGAACAAGCTATTTTATCAATGCTAGGAATAAGAAAATGTTGGCAGTGTGGCCAACATTTATTAGTATATCAGATAAAAGGAAATCCAAGTTATGAAAAGGAGAGAAGAAAAGCAATCACCAGGTGAATATACAAAGCAGTTCTATGTGTAATTGAGGAGTACCTTGATGTAACACCCCAACTTACTCACTGCAACTTAGCCCCAAAAGATTAAGATAATTCCACTGAATTATTGAGTGGCAATGTGAGAAGCACGTCAGTGCCGTGAGACCATGGCATCCATAAGCTGGAGGTTTTGGCACCTTTGGGCCTGATCCCCTTACGTGGACTCTCGCTCCTGGCATGAAGATGATCAGCGGATGGCGAGCAGCACAGCGCTTCTTGCCACTACGTGCAGCTTGATATCCAAGTGCCCAGCAGTTTTATCTTTCTCTTCAACAACTATCTGTGGTTAAAGTTTGGCCATGAGACAGTCACTTCACTCTCCAAACACAGGTTGTCCACTGGTGTTCTGTTTCACAGTCGGCTTTCCCTTCAGTGCAGAAAGGTACTACAGCTTATTTTCCATATGGAGGAAGGAATTAACCCCAGAAAGCTGAAGGCAACATTCAAAGCAACATACAACTCCATGGATGGGCATGCTCTAGAACAACCATACAACAACTAAAAATGAAAGTTGTTTTCCATTTTAGACTTAAGCAAGGAGTTACTTTCCAAAGTAAATTAAAAACATTAGCATATACACCATTCTCAAAATAGCTTGATTTTGAAAGGAGTCAGGTAAGGGACATAATTTGCCAGGTGGCAATTTGCTATGTTGGCTATGAAAATTTATCTAAATGGATCTCTGGATAATAGCACAGGGGGTTTTAAAAAAGCTTTCAGTTTAAAAGATGACAACAACTAGATTTTTTAAAAAATCAACTTAAGTAGTTTACATTTTTAAAATTTGTTTTGCCAAGTTAAATAGAGAAGGAGTAAAGTTGCAGTTAAGATATAATGCAGATTTAATCTAAATATTCAAGGTTATATAGGATTACTCAGTTTTTTATTACACTGAAATTGGTAGTGGGTTCTTTAAATTTATGTTATGTCAGATACATGTGCAGGACTCTCTTGGTTTATGCAGCTTGTAAATGCAGCAACCAATGTGTCTCTGGCTCAATAGCAACTGCTTCCTTCTTTCAGGCTTGCTATCATTTCCCTGCTACCCTATCTCCATCCAAAAACAGAGGGAAGAATCAGCAGAATACTTAATCCCTCCCAATTCAGAATCTTCCATATGGCATACGAATGTCAAATGCAGCACCTTCTCCTTATATAATAAAAGGTAAAAGGGACCTTTACTTTGGTCAAAATAGTTTGATATTCACAATGGATACAGATTATGAGCCTTCTCTCTAAGTCTTACTAACAAACAGATGTATTTCCAATTGAATGCCTGCTTTTACCTAAAGCAGGTGAGACTTATCTGCTCAATCAGTCATGCCCACATGCACTCTGTATATCTGAACAAAATTTTTCCTTTCTCTGATTTTCATCAGAAAATCTAAATTCCCTTTTACATTTTGGGGAGCAAGAACAGGGAATGGGCTTGGGACCTCAGGCATGCTAGGTAAGCCTCAAGCCTGTGCTGCAGAACCTAACTCCCCCTTCTAGTTAACTTCCTAATCTTCATGTCAAATTAAACAACCAAGAGTTAAACTGTTATAATGTATCGTTACATAATAAAAGTTTCCTGTAGCCATTTACAAACTCCCCAAATCCTCTGCATTGTTACTGTAGGCGAATTAAACCTCTAAATTAGAAGGTTCACTGATTACAGACATACCTGAAAAACAATGTAGCAAGCCAGAAGACACAACCTATCATTTCTTCTCCCTTGGGTCTTAAAATGCCAGCAGACTTTTCAATGCCCTTGATGCATGCAAAGTAGGGGTCAGAAGACAGGTGACTGGTTGAACAACTGGCTTCCTATTTTCATGAATCGGATAGAAAATAACCAAATGCAGAAGGTTTTCTAGTGCCTGCAACCTTCAAAGCAGACTGTGGAATGGAAGAACACACCGTATGCTTTGAAACAGCCAAAACCATTTCCTCCAGATATTGTTCTTCCTTTTACGTTGTCATTTTCACAACTGTTTCTCAGGTATCAGAAATTAAGACACTTCCACGCGATATACTCCATTCAAAAAAAAAACAAAAACAAAAACAAAAAAAAAACCAAAGAAACAAATTCTTCTAGTTTCTCAAAAGCAAAAACCTAACCCTGGTTCTGAGATAACATCTGTCAAAAATTCTGCTTTTCTGTATTAATTGAGGAAAAAAGAAAGAAAACATATACTAGTCATTACCAATTTTATAGGTATTTACCAATCTTTAAAAGTTGTAGGACCGCGCTTTTTATTCAGTTAAACTTAGTGACAACGAGAGAAATAGCACTTTCCACTAATAAATTACATCTTGAAATATACATGACTGTGATGTCCCCGGGTTACTTGCAGTGGTAACTTACACGCCCCGAATTTAACTGTACCAGACAGTTCTATCTGTCCCATCGCTGGCCAAACACTGCTGCTCTGTTTCTATTCATTATGTATTATACGAGGCCTAAACACAGCCCAGTATGACGATGGAAAATATTCCGATCCTTATGACAGCAGTGATACATTCAAGATCTCTCGCAATACAGCCCGGACCTGGAGCACTAAAAGACATTTTCTGATACAGCTAAAATTTGTTGGCTGCAAGCTTACTCAGGAACATTGAGCCCTGTCTCTGCGGGTATTCAGAAAACCATGGTTTAAAAAAAGCATGCACTATCCAAACCTTGCAAAAGCAAACTTGCCAAGAGCCTTGTGCAACGATCAATAACCTTGGGTACACTGACACCTTAATTCACGGTCCTGGAGACCAATGCAGCAAAAACCCAGAACCATAGGCTGGAGACCCAAGAAAACTACCGTGCTTCCCTCTCCACCGCCCTCTGCCGCAGGGAGAGAAGCGGAGGCAGGAGAGTGAACGAGGCTTACCAGCTCTGAAGATGCGCCGTGACCTCTGGCTACGCGGCGAGAGCAGGGCCAGGAAGGCGCTAGCGCGGCCGCGGCCCGTGCGGACTCTGTCCCTGGTGCATTCCTTGCATTCCAGCACAATCTGTCGCCAGCCTACAAGCTGGCAGCGCGCGTCGCCCGTTGGACGCACACACCTGCCTATCGCGGCGCCCCAAGCAATCGCGGCGCCTCTGCTGCCCGCGCTCGCCGGGTGTCGTACTCAGTCACCACGACGCCAAATCCCGGCCCCGCCACTAGTCCTCTCGTTTCCCAAGGAGTAAGAGGGGAGAGGGACCCACGATCCTCCGATGGGTCCAGCTGCTCGCTCCAACTCCTGGCAGTGCGAGGAGGCAGGGCGGCGCGGGAGGGCAGCTCGGAGCCTTAAGGCTGAGGCGCCCGCGAGGGAGGAGCGTGCGGTTTGCAGCCGTGAGCTGGGAGCCCTGGACCCTTCGGGCGATCGCCACGCGCACCGGTGCGGCTCTGGGGGCCCGGGCGACACGCCGGGCGACACGCCGGGCGAGCGTGGGAGGCACGGTAGGCGGTTGCTTCGGTGGAGCGAGGGACGGACCCACAGACGACCGGTCCCAGGCACGACGGCGCGCGGGAGCCGCGGGGCTCAAGTTCGAGAAGCGGTGGCGCGGTGCGGGAGGAAAAGCGGCCGCGCCGAGCTGTGCGGGGCAAAGTTGTGCGCCGCCGGGGGGAGGGGAGAGGCGGGCGGGATGGCGGAGCACGCGGCGGGGACAGAGAGACCGGAGCCAAGGAGCCGCGGGGGGCGCCCGGCCGCCGCCAGGTCCCGGCTCGACGCGCTCTGAGCAGCTAGCACCCCACAGCCCCGCGCCCTCCCGCCAGCCCCGCGCACTTACTTTCCAGCTCAGGCGGAGGCCGTTGTCGCTCCAGGGACCGGGGACATCCGCGCCGAAGGGTCGCCGCTGCGGCACCCGAGCAAACTGGCCGAAGTGCGGCAGCCTCGCCGCTGCCCTCCCCTCCCTCCCCACCCGCCCCCTCCCCCGAAGAGGCTCTCCCACCACCCCGGTGGCGGCGGCAGCTCGCCTCTACCCTGTGCCCATAGTGCCGCCGTCGCGGCCGGCGTCCACGCGCACTCAGCCCCGGAGCCCTCTAGACTGCTCGGAGGCCGCCGCCCCGCCGCCAGCCCGCCCGCCCGCCCGCCCGCCCGCCCGGCCAGTCCCGGCACCCGGGAACGTCAGCACGCTGCCGTCCCCAGACAGGCTCCGCGCCCGCCCCATTGGGCGGAAAGAGAGGGCCGGCCCTCGCCATTGGCCCGGCCCTCATATTGAACGAGCCAATGGGAGCTGCGGTTTCAGGTCGCCATGGAGACCGATGCTGTTAAGAGCGAGAGGGCCAAGAGAAGGTGGGGAGTGAAGATGAAGGTGTCTGTAGCCTCCGGCGCGGGAGGGGGTGGGGGGAAGGCGTATTAGGGGATTCCCGGGCAAGGGCTCCGAAATCGGGCGGGTCTTGCTTTTGAGTATTGCCAAGACTCTGCATGGTAGGGCTTGTCCCCAGCGTCAAAGGCAGAAACAACTGAGCCCCTGGACTTCTGCTTTACATTGAGAGCTCAGGAGTGGGCGTTTCATTTTTCCTGCATCTGGGGAGCCTGCAAGGCTATGCATTTTGACCTTTGAGATCTGTGCAGCCCGGTGAGTTTCCACTCCATTCCTTAAATCTCCGCTTCTTCCTGACGTCACGGGGTCACTTGAATTCTTCCTCCAACCACTCCCCCTTCCCTGAGTCGACATTTCCTCAGATTTTCGGTTCTTCGAGCCTATAGCCCCCACCCCACCCCCCGCAACGAAAACAGGATTTCTTGCACAAGTATTTTGGTAAAGAAATGAATGAGGTTGTGTTAAAGGATCAACCCACAACAGAATGAGTTCTCTGCTTCCCAAAGCAGCAAGTCTGATCTCTCCTCTCCCCTCCCTCTTGTACTGTGTGCTTTCTGTGCTGAGCTTGGCAGGTGCATGCTCTTCCCAGTTCTGGAGGCGTGCCAGAATCCATCCCAATGATTTCGCAAAAGAAAAATAGATTACAAATGATGGATTCTTGGTTTCTTACTGTTTTCTAGATTATTTCTAAAATTGGTAAAGAACTGATGAACTGGGACAGGGAATCACACTCACCCAAATCTTGACCTTTAATAATGAGTGTTCTACTTTCATTTAAATCATTTTGTGCTAGTTTGCTTGTGCTAATTATTTTTGATGAGTGATGTTCATAATTAGACGGTAGCTATTAATCTGGAACTTTTACACATGCTATTGCTTCATAACATTTTAAAAACAGTATCACCCTAGCATATAGCCACCGATATATTCATGTCTTTTCTTTTGGTGGCTTTGTTATTTTCATAATAGCCTCTTTAGTAAAAAAAAAAAATTCTTTATACTACTTCCCCTCAAAATAAGGGATCATATTACTTTTTCCTTGTTATATTTTCTCTGAAAAGCTGGCAGGAATTTTGACATTAGAAATATTTTGTTGTGAGTATCAGATTATTGTGTGCGCACGCTCTGTATATCTAACTTACATTCTGAATTTTAATTGGATGGCATGTTTTGGCTTTTATGCTATAAAATATAGCCTAAGAAATGTTAATATGCCAACTTGATTGGAAAAAAAAATCTCCTTGGTACTTATTGTAAACTTGAATTTAATTGACAGTCCCGTGCAGGATTGGACTGTGGAACAAAATGGATAAGCATGTGAATGTATCACTTAAATATTTTAGAATTAGGGTGGAGCCAGCAAGCAGTAAGGTTGGAAGGAAAGGTATTCCATGGCTTGTCATTAGGAAAATTACCTGCTTTTGAGTTTTCCTTGTGTTTATTGTTGTTGTTGTTTGCTTGCTATTGTGTGTTTGTTTATAGAATGGAAAAAAGTTAAAATGCAAGGATAAGTAAGACATTTTAAATGTATAGTCAAGGTACCAATAATTTGTTTGTTTTTAATTTAAGTAATACTAAATGAATGTAATATTTGCCTACTCAAAGGAGAAAATGGGTCTCTTTATTCTTCCTTTATAGAAAGAAGAGAAAAAAGAACCGATTTTGGTTTTACTCTAAAAATTATTTTCTTTTGTATATTTCTCAAAACACATACCTGTCAAATATTTTTCCATCATTTTTTTATGTGCAACCTACATGTCATTTGCATTGTCAGTAACTAAGATGTTGCTGAAACCCATCAGGAATAATGGCTGTCCCCTAAATCTTTTGTCATTCAATATTTTTTTTCCTTGTTACACTTAGTGGAAAGAGTTTTTTTTTTTTAACTTCTAGAGAACCCCTCTCGCATCTGCCTCATTTCTGATAGTCAAGTCAGCGCTGTCCTGAGGATCCCTCTACTTTGCAAGAGATCTTAAGATTCTGGGAATCTGACAAGAGGCCTTTCAACTCAGTTTTCTTACAGCCTAGTCTCAGTTTCTACAGCTCTTCATCTCCATCTGTTCTTACTGAAGAGGGCCCTGATCCTCTTCTCTGCTCAACTCCAACTGTGCTACCAATGCACATACTCTTACCAACAGGACATTCCTCTGTCGCTTATACTTTCTCAGGTTGCCTTTTATACCCTCTCCCAAGCTTCTCCCTTAGGCTTCCAAATAGCTGGTCTTTTATGGACCAGTGTTCTTCATGGCCTCTCTCTTTATATGCTGGCCTTCCTTTTCCCAGAAGCAGTATACAGGAAGATCTGCTTTTTCACGTCAGTTGCTTTGATCCTGAGTACAACTGAAATCGTTCCGAAGGTCACGCCCTCTGTCTACAAAAATCTCAGCTGGTTTTGCAGACTAAGTTCTCTCATCTAACAATGTCCTTTGGACCAGGAGTAGGGTACATGTCTATAATTGCAGCACTTGGGAGCCAGAGGCCATAGTTCAAAACGTCATCCTCACTCCTGTCTACATAGTACGTTTCCAGACAACCTTGGCTTCCTGAAACCCTGTCTCAAACAAACAAATGAAAAACCAAACTTTTAAACTTGGCAGGATTTGGAATCACTTGGGAAGGTAGGGTTGTTTTAATATATATATATATATATATATATATATATATATATATATATATGAGGTTATTTAAATATGAATAAATGTATTCAGTACAAGACTTACATTCAGAGGCTTAACACATTTAAAATGCGAACTATAAGTCAATGATAGCTAAAGTAAACTCACCAGTGTTACATCATCAATAAGAAAGAAATCATGGCTACCTCTGACATGCTGATTATAGGGCTTAATTATTTTTTAACATTTTATCATTTTATTAATTATTTAATTATTAAATAATTTAATTTTATTAATAGTTCAAAATATCATATTTATATATCATAAATATCATATTATATATAAGTATATAAATATATTATGTCTTTAAAATATATGATATAATAAATTGAATAATTTAATTATTAATTTTAAATATATTTCCATCATGTTCTTTCCCTCCTTCAAGTTATCCCAGATCTTCCTTCCGTCCATACTCACACAACTTTACTTTCTTTCTCGAACATAGACAAAAACTCAATACAGGACCCTCCCAAACCAAGAAAATGAACCCCCTCCCCACCAAAAAAAAAAACCCACAACACCAAAACTCTAATCAAATAAAAACATTCAAAAAGAAAGAAAGAAAGAAAGGAAGGAAGGAAGGAAGGAAGGAAGGAAGGAAGGAAGGAAGAAAAGAAAAAAGTTAACTGTGGAGTTCATTATATGTTAGTCAACTACTCCTGAACATGAGAGCTTCCTTGGCATGGTTGACACTCTAATGGAGGGTCACTCCATTAAAGAAAACTGATTTTCCTTCTCTCAGCAGGTACAAATGACAGTTCAGTCATTGTTGTTAACCTTTACTCTATTGACTAGGTTTTCATTCATTCATTCATTCATTCTTTCATTCATTCTTTCATTTTTAAATATAACAAGATGAAAACTATCACATTGAAGCTGGAGAAGGCAAACCAACAAATGAAAAGAGCCCTAGAGAAGGCACAGGAACCAGAGACCCACTCGTTTACACACTCTAGAATCCCATAAAAACATAGTTGTCATAGTTGGCAGTCAGCTTCCTGTAAGGACATGGTAAGACCTACCTTGAAGGTAGGCTGGGCCCTGGACTAAATGAAGGGGGCCGGGGCTAACAAGCTCTGCTCCTTGACTGGATATCCTGGCAGCTCTCTGGAGCACCGGTTTCTGTCACTTCTCATATTTGGACTGTAACCTGAAACCATGAATCAGAACAGCCCCCTTTCCCCTCAGTTCCTTTTGTAGGGTATTTTATAACAGCAATAGAAAAGCTGAGATACCTCCCAATTACAGGCTCTCCTCGAGGATGGGAACCTTGTCAGCCAGCCTGAGGATCCATTGAAATGCAAATGGCCCACTTGAGCAGAGAGCCTGTGAACTTTCTTTCTAGATCTGACTGCTGGGTAGCAGTGGTAGAAAGAGGGGTACCTACTTAGACTGATGGCTGACAAGGTTTAAGAAGAATGAAGACTTTGGGCAACTTGACCTCAGGATCAGAAGAAAACAGCAGAACTCCAAGAAACGTGTACCACTGACGAATAGAAGATGACCCAAACTTTTCATGGACTACTAAGGCTCCAGTACTTTTACAGTGTTCTCTATTTTCCTATTAGCTCATGACAGTTAGTAAAAATTTCCTTTTTGAAATGTACCATAGAAAGTAAGCAATAGAGGATATTGCTGTTTGATATCTCTACAGTAGGTAGGTAGGATACCTCTATGGTAGGTAGTGATGGCAAAACCTCTGAGAATACACCACTGCTGGTAGCTTTTATTATTGAAGAGGGATGTTTAAAAAAGCAGGCAGGTGGGGAATGAGGTAACAGCAGCAGAACCTGAGCCTGGGGACAATGGCCAGAGCTCAAAAATAGTTCAGCTCCACTGTGCAGATGCACCACATTTTCTTTATCCATTCTTCAGTCGAGGGACATCTAGGTTGTTTCCAGTTTCTAGCTATTATGAATAAAGCTGCTGTGAATATAGTTGAGCAAGTGTCTGTGGGATGGTGGAACATCTTTTGGGTATATGCCCAGGAGTGACATAGCTGGGTCTTGAGTTATTCCCAGTTTTCTGAGAAACCAACAAATTGATTTTCAAAGTGGTTGTACAAGTTTGCACTCCCACCAGCAGTAGAGGAATATTCCCCTTGCTCCACAACCTCACCAGCATGTGCTACCTCTTGAGTTTTTGATCTTAGCCATTCTGATAGGAGTAAGATAGAACCTCAAAGTCGTTTTGATTTGCATTTCCCTGGTGACTAAGGACTCTGTTGAGAATTCTTTGTTTAGCTCTGTACCCCATTTTTAAATTAAGTTATTTGGGTTGTTGGTGTCTAACTTCTTGAGTTTCTTGTAAATTTTGATTAGCCATCTGTCACATGTAGGGATGGTAAAGATCCTTTCCCAATCTGTAGGCTGTCATTTTGTCCTATTGACAGTGTCTTTTGTTTTATAGAAGCTTCATGAAGTCCCATTTATCATTTGTTGATCTTAGAGCCTGAGCCATTGGTGTTCTGTTCAGGAAATTGCCTCTTGTGCCAATGTGTTCAAGAGTATTTCCCATTTTCTCTTCTATGAGATTTAGTATATCCATTTTTATGTTGAGGTCCTTGATCCACTTGGA